AAGACTTTTGTGAATTGTTATGGTCGCGAAGGTTTTAAATATATAAAGGCATTGAAACGCATGCCCGGCAAAGACGAACGCACCAACTCTTTACCTCAAGTTAAGAGAAAGTTATTAAGCATATCATATTTAATGCGTCGCCCGTCGCTCCGTGAAAGTGGCCCACCGCACCGCGTCGCTAACTGTATTGTTATACTACTATGGATTAGTTGTTGGCGTATGTAAGTTATTCTTTTTGGATTCAAATTCCAAAGTTCGAAGATATTTGTACAAAACACAAATATTTTGTTCTGTTAACTGTGGACTGTATTATAATTTTGAGGAAACCTTAACAGGCTTTTTAATTTCTGTTGTGCTCCGGAGCACTTTAAAAAACTATACAAAGGAATTATTAAAAAACACACAAAATTTCCAGCACGTGTCAGTACGGTTGGATTCTAGTGATCACAGCTTCTAATAGAATTCCATAGACAATTTTTTTTTTTTTTTTTATAGAATAGGGTGACAAACGAGCACACAGTCCACCTGATGGTAAGTGGTTGCTGCGGCCCATAGACATCTACATCTATCCTCCATTAAAAATCAAAATGCAGATGCGTTGTCACCCGTGAGGACTGAGATGGAATGCCTCGTTTCCAGTAAAAAGGGTCTCCGGTTCTCTACACTCACCATACGAAATACAGCAGCATTAAGCTACTATTTCACGCTGGTATTCTGTGAGAGCGTGGTCCTTCCCCGGTCGAGCCGACCCATTCGTGCTACAACTATACTACTAATATAACTGCAGCATGGCTCTACCACGTAAATTAAATTAACACCAGCTCAAATAGGGTTGCCAGTTCTCGTTTTATGTTTTAAAGCATTTGATAAGGTTAAATAAACATAGTATAAAAATAAAGAATATAGTAGCAACATTTATTAATTAAAAAAAACAATATTAATACGCAATGTATCGTATTTTGTCTCTTTAATATCAAAAATTGAACTTCTGTTAATTTCGAAAAAGAAAATTCTCTTATAATAAACGACTATAAATTTGTATGAGATAAATTAAAATCACAAAGTTGCAAAGCAAGTTGTAGGTGTTTAAATGAATCTTTGAATTGCAAAATTCCTTCTTCTTCCTAAAAGACTCAACATTTATGAAATATTTATCTAGAGCATTTTGATATGTTAAATGAATTCATGGCCAAGTTAGGAAGTGTATGCATTAAGGTGTGGTCGTGTGCTACGTACCTAAATATATTTAAAGCGCACACTAAACAACTAAAACGCTACTTGTACAAACAAAAATTTAAACATCGATCAAGTTTATGTTTGACAGCAGTTTTTTATTGCAGTTGGGAGTTATTACGTAGTAGAATTACGTGTAGCACGAATGGGTCGGCTCGACCGGGGAAAGACCACGCTCTCGCAGAATACCAGCGTAAAATACTGCTGTTTCGTATGGTGAGTGTAAAGAACCGGAGACGCTTTTTACTGGAAACGAAACATTCTATCTTAGTCTTCAGGGGTGACAACGCATCTGCATTTTGATTCTTAATTCAGGATAAATATAGATGTAGTCTATGGATGCTCGTTTGTCACTCTTATTCTATAAAAAAAGTTGGGACAGATATTATATGTTGGTATATTCTCGTAAATTGATTTACATATTCGGTGTAAGTTTACCTAACTAATATCCCCTCAGAAATAAGAGAAATAGTGGCACGTACGTATATAGGCTGTTACTAACTTTAAATTTGCCAAATTTTTATATTATTTTGTTTTTATTTTATTTTTGTATTCGTTAAATATAAAAGAGTTTGAATTAAAAAATATTACTTTTGAATAAATGTCTACTGCATAAATACATTTTTCCGCTATTTTTCTTATATTTATTTCATCAAAGCAATTTTTCTTGTACCCTCTTTAATTTTAGTAAATAGTTTTGCAATATAATTTATATTCAAATACATGATCCGCTTTGCATTAGTAGGGGAGGGATCAGTCAAGCATGTACTAACTCCGGTCAATTTCAGGCACGATTTCCGTTTGGTGTACGTCAGAAAGTAAGCTGCGAAGTCCGAATTCCTATAAGGCATGCGTTCACGCAAAACAACGTGAGCGGCCTTCTTTTGTCACGTCTCACAATCTCAACTTACGCAACAGAGCACAAGAATGCGGCATTTGATTGTACGATTTCCTACTTTTATTGCCCTGTTGGTATAGTGGTCATGAGCGCGACTGCCGGTTATGTGGCCCTGGGTTTGAATCCCGGGTTGGGCCAAAATCAGTTATTGAGCTAATCTGTTGAGAAATTCTTAGTACGGTGAAGCGTACGGAGAGTGCCCAGCCCCTTCCCTTCCACGGTACTTAATACTTCATTAAGCTTTCCTAACCCAGGTTCATCGTCATTACAGACCTTCACAAATCCACTGCACGATCAGCACAGGTCAAAGCAACAATAAAGCATATAAAATAAAATAATAATACCTGACCTATAAAGGCGTTAAGTTAGTACTCGTAACTTTATTGATGGACGTTTTTAACCGACTTCAAATAGGAGAAGGTTCTCAATTCCGGTGTATGTTCTATTTTTTTGTACGTTACGGTACGGTACGGTATGTTACGCGATGTCTTTGCAGATTATGAACCGATTTTGATATTTTTTCTTTATTAAAAAACTTTACCTCAAGGGTAGTTTCATTAAATTTTGAAGAAAATTTCCGGCTCAAGGATGGAAAATAGTGGAAAAAGTTTCGTATTGGACTACGTTTAAGGTGAATTTCATATGATATTGATGTCTTCGCAGATTTCGCCAATTTTAATAATTCTTTTTTTTTTCTTAAATAAGTTATATTTCAAAGATCCGTTTTCACTTTTTGTTGAAAGTTGTATTTATTCTACTCACAAAAACTTAAACTCTACGCATAGTACGACTATTAGACTACAGCACTGACTAAAATAGCTAGTTTTTATCCATTGGCACATAAAAATAAAAGTGTTGCTCTTAGAGTCCTCATAAGCGTAGCTTGCTTTTGTATACTTAGAGTATTCATCTGTATTACTAATTAATAATTTTTAATTATTATTTAAAATTATTAATTAGTCCAACAAAACTTATAACAGGCTTAAATTTTCAGTGTCAAATTGGATATCGTGTGTCGTGTTTACAACGTTCAACCAAAATCGCTCTGTGCTTAAAACATTTACGTTTAAAAAGTAAATTCTTGATTATTTCGAAATGTCTTAAATTGTATAAGACTATGCAAGGTTGAATTATATGAATTAAATGTTGAATGAATGAAATTTCTGTCTTGTGTATCGTATTTCGGAAATAAAAGCGCTCGCTCTAAATTTCACAGTACACAAGCAATCCGGGTTCGAACCCCGAGAACACCAATGTAATTGTTAGTTGCAATGATTTTAGGCATTAATTTACCAAATTTTCGGTAGTGACGGGAACATCGTGAGAAAGGCTGCATGTCTTAGGAATAAAAGATTTCTAGGACATGGTAGAGCCACGCTACAGCTAAATTATGTTAAAACGAATGGGTATATTCCGATGATATCTGGGACGTCAGTCTAAACGAGATTAGAATAGCTCTCTAGCACCTTAAAATCGACAAAACCCCAGACGAGGATGGAATTACAGCGAAGCTTCTGATAGCGGATAGAAAACCGGTACTTGAAGTCCTTCAGAAGCTCTTTAATTCCGTTCTCGATGGTGAGACTACTCCGGAGGCGCAGAGCAGAAGTGCGATGGTTTTGTTCTTTAAGAAATGCAACAGCGCTCTCTTGAAGAACTACAGACCGATTTCCCTTCTGAGCCGCGGCTACGTGTTGTTTTCGAGAGTCATTACGAATCGTCTCGCACGCAGACTCGACGACTTCCAGCCTCCTGAACAAACCGGTTCCGAAAAAGCTTTAGTACCATAGAGTACGAACATACGCTCCGGCAAATTGTACGTAAGACCGAAGAGTACAATCTGTCACTTTGTCTGGCGTATGTGGACTATGAGAAAGCCTTTGATTCCGTCGAAATTTAGGCGGTGCCACAGTCACTTCAGCGGTGCCAAGTTCACTGTAGATTTATCGAAGTGCTGAAGTGTTTGTACAGTAGGGCTACGATGGCTATCCTAGTACAGAACCAAAGTGTAAGACAGGGTGGCATTATATCACCGCTACAATCGACGGATTCAACTCGGCTGGACAGCGTTCGGGAAATTACGACACATTTTATCGTCAGTTGTACCTCAAAACCTGAAAACGAGTTTGTACAACCAGACTTATGAATCTGAGACGTTGTCCTTATGAGGCCGCTCAAGGTCGCTCAGCGAGCTATGAGGAAAGCTATGCTCGGCGTTTCTCTGAGTGATAAACTTAGAAATGAGGATATCCGCAGTAGAATCAAAGTGACCGATATAGCCCAACGGATTAGTATGCTGAAGTGGCAATGGATCGGCCATATAGCTCGAAGAACTGATAACCGATGGGGAAAAAAGGTTCTCGAGTGGCAGGCGCGTACCGGTAGGCGTAGTGTAGGGCGACCCCCCACTAGATGGAGTGACGACCTGGTAAGACATGCAGGAAGTCGATGGATGCAGGTGGCTTAGGAATACGCTTTGTGACATTCCTACGGGGATGCCTGTGTTCAGCAGTGGACTAGTGAAGGGCTGTAATGATGATGACGATGATGAATGGGTCGACTCGACCGGGCAGGGACCACGCTCTCACAGAAATCAGCGTAAGATAACAGCTTTATGTTACTGTGTTTCCTATGTTAAGTGTAGAGAACTCGAGACCTTTTTAATGGAAACGAGGCATTCTATTTACATCCTCGGGGGTGACAACGCATCTGCATTTTGAGTCTTAAATAAGGATAAATGTAGATTTCTATGAGCCTGATTCACCTGATTCTACTCACCATTAGTATGCTCGTTTGTCGCAATTTTTCTAAAAAAATTACATAATGATAACCACTGATAACTTAAATTATTCCTTTTATTACATTTCAGAACAAGTTGTCTGGAGACTTAAAATCAGCTCGTGATACCCGAGATGGTGACTCAGTACGTGGCTTCTACAGCTTCGTGGACGCCGACGGTAGACAGCGCATTATTCACTACACTGGTGACGACAGACTGGGCTTCAAAGCAGACAGGAATCAACGGGACCACCAATAACTGTACCGCTAATAGTCTAATCAGAAACTGTCATTATTTTACATAGGTAGCCAGTGGGTGCGTTGAATTAAAATTTGCAAGAAAAATAATAAAATTTTGTAAATCGTTTGTGGTAGATAAAGTTACAAATTTACCTATTCACTGTGTTAGTTTTGCATCAGTTTAATTATTCAGATAAGACCCCTCGCTTGGCACGAAAGCAGAATCTGCCTTGTGTCAGTTATTTTATTAGAATCATTATCATCATCATTACAGCCCTTCATAAGTCCACTGCTGAACATAGGGCTCCTCCAAAGAACGCCACAAAGCCCGGTCCTGAGCCGTCGTTTGGCACTAATACAGAATCGGACTTTTGGCTTGCAGCCTAATTCTGGCCGATCGCAATATGCTACGGTTTGCTGCTAAATTTAAAATTAAAACCTATTTGTTTCTTGTTTTAATGTCGGTGCATTGCATTGCAAATTTTGGGATTTATTTTATTAGATTATGATGGCGGCTTGAGCTAGTGGATAGTATCCCAAGGTGCCTAAACAATACATAACATACATACATAAACACTCACGCCTGTCACCCAGAGGGGTAGGCAGAGACTACAGACTTCCATTTAGCACGATCCTGACATACCTTTCTCGCCTCTTCCACATCCATATACCTACGCATACATGCTCGTCGGTTAAGGGTACTCTTAATTTGGCCCATTTTTAGTATATCGCCAATTTGGTCGACAAACTTCCGCCTAGGACGTCCCTTTCCGACTCTTCCATTCACTTCTGCAACATATATTTGCTTTGTCAGTCTTTCCGCATTCATTCTTTCTACATGACCAAACCACCGAAGCATTCCTTTCTTAATCCTGGTCACCGCATCATCTTGCAAACCAAACTCTTCTTTTATCACACAGTTTCTCACCCTGTCACTCAGATTCAGCCCTAACATACTCCTTAGCGACCGCATTTCTACTGCATTTATTCTACTCTCGTGCTTCTTCTGCCACACCCAACTTTCACTACCATACGTTAAAGTAGGGACTAATACAGCACTGTGAATTGCCATACGTGCCTTTTTTGACACATTCTGACTTTTCACAATAGAGTGTAGAGCCCCATTTACTTTATTTCCTGCATTCACTCGTCGTTCAATATCCTTATCATATCTCCCATCCCTGCTGAATACACATCCCAAATATACGAACTCATCCACTTGCTCAATTAACTCTCCTTCTATTCTTATTTCACATACCGTTTTGCTTTCATCTCTTTCAAAAACCATCACTTCCGTCTTACTTGCGTTCACTTTCATTCCCCTTTCTTTTAATGACCTGTTCATTAATGTAACCATCATTTGCAACTCGGCCGCCGACGACGCAAGTATGACTTGATCATCGGCGTACAAAAGGCATTTGATGGTTAACTCACCCATTCTTAACCCGCATTCTTCAACTTTCAAATTTTCCAAACAGCTGTCCATAAATAGGTTGAACAGCCACGGGGAAGCTACACATGCCTAAACAAACACGATAATATAAACTTTAGTGCTGTCAAAATTTTATAGCAAAACTAAATTTAAATTTGCTAAGTAAGTCTAAGTTTTAGACAATAATTATTTGCAATTCCATTATAAACTGTTATTTTTGCAGTACAGGTTAACAAAAAGCCTCCGTTGTCATAATATAACATTCACTCTGCAAGTCGCATTTGGGATACGCATTTAAAATAAAATGAAAATCCCAACGTTTTAGTTTTATTAATAGGTATATAATTTTTAAATGCCTCTTAATCTCAAAGGAATTTTGAAAAATCTTCAATGCTTATTTAATAGCCGGTATGAAGGAATTACTGGCCACTTCTTTCATATCTTATTTATAGAAAATATTAATAACGTACGTGAGGCTAATATGGTCATCCGGTTCAAATGGTCACTTTCTTATAACTCAAAAAACTACAGCCTTATTTGTATAGATGCCTCTGTAATACGATAACTCTTCATGAGTAAATCAAATAATAAGGGGTCAAAAAGGCGCTACTTAATCGACGTCGTTTTGACAGTTGACATTATAAGCAATAGTAAATATTTTAATCGATTTTAGTTTTGATCGAATCGATCGATTTACAACTAGACACAGTTTCGATGAGATTTAACTATTTTTATGCAAAATTTGCATACTCGAATATTTAATATTCGAGTAAGCAAATTTGGTCTACAGATTAATAAATATGTAGACTAACAAGCTGTTGTTAAGAGGGTCAAGAGCACTGACCTCTATATAGTATACTGGCTTTACCGTACTGTCTGTGCTGATTTGAAGCGCGATCATTTTTCGTACTGGGAACTAAAATTAACATAATGTGCCAATGCCTGTTGTCTTATTTAAATCATATCCCTGTATTTTAAACTTTTAAACTAAAAAATGAAAGTATTTTATGTGGTTTGATTATTTTTGGTTTTAGTTACATATAAGAATTGTTTTTAGTAATAATGAGTATGCGTAATATGTAAAACTCGTTACCAGAAGGAAAGTGGGATTCACGAGGAAGTGAATTTACAAATAATATTAAGCAAATTAAAGCCATTTGATAAGGTAGGTACTTAAAATTTGTTACTATTCTTAATATCTTAATTGCCAACAGGTTTGCCTTTATACTACTTTCTGAGTTTTAATAAACAATAAAATTCAATATGGTTGTCGATTTTCTTGTCTATAAAACTTATCGATGTTCTTTCTTACCCATATCTGTTATTTATAATAATTAGTAGCCATATTTCAGCAGACCTGATTTGTTTTTAATAATGCTTGAAGTGAATGAACGGTTGACAATAAACAATTTTCGATATTATGTTTTTCTTTTTCTTTTGTATAGTTACTTAATTCAATATTTAAGCCTCGCGAATGAACCAACATGCCCAATGTGGAAACCCGGAACAAAATCCGTACCTACTGTTGTTACGAATGAAAACGTAGATAGACCAACGCAGCTTCGATATTGGTTTTATATGAGGTATAAAGTTTGCGTTCAAACACTAAGTATTAATTGATACATTTATTTACTGCAAGGCATTATATTAATATGATATATAAATAGAATGGATGTAACGGGTAGGCCTGAGTATAGAATTATTATCGATATATTTTGTCACATTGTCTTATCTCTATTATTAGTTCCGTGTACGTTCACTTCTGCTATCAGCGCCAAAATGGCGAAAATCAAATCGCCTCATTATGTAACGGTATATAGTATATATATATATATATATATATATATATATATATATCTATATATATATATATATATATATATATATATATATATAATTCATAGCCTGACATTGTATGATTGCGACCTTTTTCTTTTTTAAACGTTGTACTATTATTATTATTTTATTGTTTATTACTATTTTAATTTCTCAACACGGGCTGCTAAAGGCTTAGAAATTTTATATCACTAATATTGTATAATTGTTTAATTTATGATTATTAATTTATATGATAACTATTAATTCTTTTGTTATAATTGGGAGCAATTTTTTTAAATATACTTGCACGTAAAATTTTACCTTGTGTGCGTGTCGGATTTTCTGTAAGCCACAAGAGTTTTTGAATTAAATAAATAAATAAATAAAAAATAAATAGGTCAGCGAATGTTGTGCCGCGTAGAGTACTTAAATTTCTAGATCACGCAGCCACAGTGTAGCTAAGTGCGAGTAGGTAGACATTTTTTTTAAATTGTGTGTATTTGATCAACAGAATTTTAAATCATAGCTATTGATTATATTTCTTTATGTACTACTACTATTACTATTCAAGTTGTCGAAATTTCTAAAGTCATATGTAGTAATCAATATAGATTGTAAGATGATTGAAAATGCCACGTTTGTTGGATATAGAAAACGTGCATTAAAATTGTACATAACGATGTTACGCAATTCTCGAAAGTTATTTTAAAACTGTTGAAAAACTTGTCAAGCGTCGATATGGTTTGTTTTACTGTATTTTTTATAATTTTGTAACCCTTAAATATAAGCATTTCATTTTATAATGAAAATAAATGGACACAAAAAACCACGTTGAGTTTTACTGTTTTCTTTCCTATGTGGTGGAGGTTTGATCCATTTGTTACTCCATTTTGTAACGTGGATGCTGTTAGCACTACGGATTTATGCTGAATCCCAAGAGGCTTTACTCGTGGGTGGCGGAATATGAAGGGCTACAAATTTTGTAAAGACGACTGAATACCAAAACCTTCTTCATCTAATAAATAAATAAATTTTACATCGACTACCCGGCCCGGTTTACTAGCCGGACTTCGTTGACGACAACTTTAGCCGTCTGCGTGAGTTTGCGTAAGAATAGCACGAATAGAATAGAATATAATCTTTTATATTCAATATAGATTACAACAATACTTATTGAAAGTTATATAAGCTTTATCACTGGTTCGGAAAAAAACTTTTGTCTTGAGAAGAACCAGCAAGGAACCCAGCGAGACTTTCCATGCCCGGACTACTGCCATGGAGAGGGTATACATAACAAGGTATCCGCCCAGAACCGAAGGGTTAATGTTCTTGTCACGCTCGGAAAGGGAGAGTGGCTATATGGGATAAGGAATAGAATAAATAACTTATAGAGAGTCAAGAAAGTGCACGGAGGAAAGAGCCTCGCGTGAGTACCGAGTACATCTCGCGGGATTCGGCGGATATATATTACAGGTATATTATAGGTAGTATATTACAGGTACAAGCTTGCGGTTATTATACATATAATAACCGCAAGCTTGGTGGGGCCATGGGAGGTGTAGCGTTGTTCCGATTCTTTTTAATAATAAAATATAGAGAGTAGTGGCAGGTGCTGAGTCCTCGCCTTAAGTTTTATGGTACGCGACCTATTCGGATTCGATCTCCGTTGCAATATGGGCTGATTTATCACGTACTTAGCTGAATAAAATATTCGATAAACCTCGCACTAGAACAGTGCGGTGGACTAGTAGCTCACTTTTATATAGCCT